TGTTCCTTCACTGCCATCAGGACTGGAAGCTATGATTTCCCATTATTTTCTCTGCAAATTTAGAGAGGTACTTCTCAATATTTTCTGAAATTTGAGATCTTTGGCAAAGATGGGCATCTCTCTGAAAAGTTGTTCCTATTCTTTTGTTAGGTCTCTTTCCAATCACCTCCTCTAACTTTGTAATGACTACATAGCCACCCTCTCTTATAACCCTGTCTTTAAGATTCATTATCTCCTGGCCTTATTTTTCTTTTTCCATCAATACTATTATCTAAAACACAATCTTTCTTCTGAATAAATTTTCCTTCTCTAGCTTAGTCAGCCAGCCTCCCTTTGTTTTTCACCATATCCTACTTCTTTTTTGACTTCAAGTTCTAAATACACATTTGTTTCTTGGTGACAGAAGAATCTAGACACAATGCTTTTTAATATCATTTCTGCCTGTGGGATTATAATGATATTGCTTCTCTAGTCCTCAAACCCCTGTATAGCACGTATTCCATTGCTCAACCCAGCATTTGTTTGTGGTTGAACACAGAGAATTTCAGCTAAGTGAGTCTCTAAAATTCTTCTTTGGGAGTTTACACAGTCAACAAACCTAGCACCAATTAAGAACAAAAATAGAAGGTGCATCTACTCTATGTGAAGTAAAGAGCTTGGCCCCTCCCATCAATCCCTCTTTGACACTATGAAAGGATACAATTCAAATCAAGATAAAGTGGAACCAAATTTGGAAAACTCATCTAATGCTACGTGATAATCTCGACCACAATTTAAGATCCAGAACCTCCAAAGTTTGTGCTCTAAGCTATTTGTGGAATTTACACCACTGGACCCTAAACTCACCACTTGCCCTTGTGCTTGAGAATAAAGGCAGCAAAGAAAGAAAGAAAGGATCCATTCAATTGTATAACGCCTTTCCTTTCTGCAGCAAGCCTGTCTCAACCCTCTCTGTGTGGGTCAATTCAGTCATAGTGTCTTAAACAAAAATTGCAAATCTCCAGTGCCTCACAAAAGTAATGATTTGAAAGTAAACACTAGTTACCATAAACTGTTTGGATTTGAAAAAGTAAAAGAACTGAAAGACTTAAGATCACTAAAGGATTAAAATGATGCTCTAGCACACCAGACATACGATATCCAGACATCCTACTTTGTCCCTTAATTCCAGTAGGAATGACTAATTTTCAAGATTTAACATCAAATGCACATTTAAATGTCTTAGGGATTAATAGAGAAACTTAATTATATATATATATATATATATATCCCTCCAGTGTCTCAACCAGATAAGTAATAGATACAGAAATCAGATTAATGAAGATCAAAGTTATCAAGTACTTGGCTAATAAAGCTATATAATGATCAAAATTGGGCTTTCTAATACTCTGTCTCCCCAACCTCTCTCAATTCCTGGTCTTGAGATGACCTACCCAAAGGTAAATATATAAAGAAAACACTTACCTGGACAGCAGCAAGGGGCATCATGTCCCCAAAGCAGGAAAGACAGAGGTGCTCTTCTGACTCACCTCTGGAAGGCAGATCTAGGTTCAGCAGCTGTGCTGGCCATATGAAAGCAGGATCTGGGTTGAGTGTATACACACCGAGGCCAGGGAAGCACAGAAGAGGTAAGGGAATGCAAAATGTGTGTGTACAATGACCCTACTCCCTATGTCTTCATCTGGGAATATAATCTTTCTCCTTAGGGGACTGAAGTGAGAGGTAGAGACAGGGCAAAGAATGATATTCAACATGATTGCTTGTTTGAAGAATAGAGAAATGGGGACAAATAACAGATCATTGTCCCCATAGATGAGGCCAAAACCTGTACTCTTCACCTCCTTCAAGCAAGATAGGGAATATATTTTCCTCATAGCCAAGGTTTGGCTTGGGATTAATTCCCAGCTTCTAACCCATATTTCTAGAAAACTTCTATTAATAGACTTGGTTAGTATTTCATTCCTACATCAGATCCTATGCTGAAAGGTGAGGACCCAGAGGTTCAGTCTGAACTCAACCAATCCCTAGATATATTCTGTCACCTAGACATAATCTGAGCCCTATCTGATTAACAAAAGAAGGAAAAGACAAACCAAGTGACTCAGGAAGCCCTTCCAAGGCAACTCACCATTCCTCAGAAATGGTCTGGCTGCTAGGGTGAAAAAGCAGTAATACTCAGATCAGGAAAAAAATCTTTAAAAATCTCGCCTCCTTTATTCACCTACTGTGAAGTCCCAGGTTTATCTTTCCACAACACCTGAGAGGAGTCATTGAAACATTTATCACATGTAGGGTATCAGAGGGCGTTCACAGACGAAAGTCCCTAAGGTAGAGCCCAACTAAGGACTTTATTTGAAATCTTAAAAATTAAAAGTTATTCATCAATGAGTTGTTAGAAAATTCAAGTATTTTAAAAATTCAATTCCAGAAGTTAATATAAGTTCTTTTTCTGTTAGCTTCTTAGTTATTGTAAAGGACAAAGAGAAAACCTCAGGTTCCAATGGACCCCCACAGTGGCCTTCATGTGAGGAAACAGAGAAGCAAAAGGCAGCCTCTTCCTAATATTAAAAAAAAAAAATCACCTCCAAAATTGGGGGTCTCCTTTTCCCATGTCAATTCAAGAACAGCCCTGCCCACTCTGCATAGTCCTCATCAGAAAACACTGGCCCTCCACAAGATCACAAAACATTTCTTTGGGCCATCCCACAGATCCCTCCATCACATAGTGTAGGAAAACGTAGTGGAACCCTAATACTCTTTCTGCAATCACTTACTCTTTCAAGGATCCTGAGGTGCCCAGGACCATGAAAAAGAAAAGAATTGACACAAAATGAATCTAACAGGCCCGAAGAAAGAGTTTCTCCCAAGATACCAAAGAATCACTATCACTTTAAGATCACATGGTGTAGAGATGGGAATGGATTCAACCTGTGAAGAAAATGGTTTAGGGGTTAAATAAAATAAACAAAGGACTCAGGTAAAGATTCAACATTTGAATATTTATAGAAGCAACAGAAAACAGGATAGGAGGGGATCTTGGTGGTGGGACCAACCACGAGAGTGCAGACTTTTGTCTAAGGTTCCAGGGAATGAGGATATGGGGAACCAAGTGTGAAGGAGAGCCATTTAGAAGATCAACACCTGACTTCTAACCAGGGTTTTGCAAATCTTAGCATATAACTTTGAGATAATCTAAACTACAATATCTTCATCTGCAAAACAGGCAAAAGCAATTCGCTTAATCAGGTACCTTTTACAATCCCATGAGATAATGGCATCTTCTACAAGTGTGATTAGCAGGGTGTTATAAGATATTCAAGAGGGGACCAGAGGGGTCCTCATCTCTAATGAAAGGAACACACACACACACACACACACACACCCATGGTTTCAATCCCCAGTAGCTGCGACAAATAACAGAAAAAATACTGCTGATGTCTGATATCTTCAGGGGGCAGCAGGATCCTGAGGTTGTAGTTTACAGGGGTTCTACAGTTAGAGAAAGATGCTCCTATTTGATAAGAGCTATCATTTGGCTGTCCCTTCCCAAATCCAAGACAGTGGCTTTTTTTGAATAAATTAATCTCTCATCCCCCCCCCCAATTCATCTGTAAACAGAAACAACAACAACAAAAAAAAAAATGTGCAGACCTTGAGGGAAACAAAACACCTATTTAGCAACTAAAAGGTGAACAGACTCTACTACCCCTGAGATTATTTGGAGTGGGGTAGCTGGAACCACGCCCTTCTGTTTCCCTGAATATTATCTATGGTTGTGAAAAATCTTGTTTTACACCTGCCCCATCCCAAAATTTCTTGGGTTTGCCTTCTGGAAGGAGAAACTAGTTTGGTACAGCCTTTTCTTTCTGGTGCTGTTGTGGTTGTTTCCCAATTATTTAACTACTCGCATCATGAAAACAAGTCAAAAAGTTACCATCCCCAAGTAGGAACTGTAAAGAGGAAAAGGGCTACGAAGCAAGCGCAGGGTTCCAAATTACTCTATAAGACCCGAAAGCAGACTCATACCACTCCTCAGGCACCAAGAAGCAACCCCCAGCCACACATCCATATAAGCTCTCCTAGCAGAGGTAGCTGGGGTAATTTAGGAAGAGTGGAAGACGCTAGCCTTCCACCAACCTGGAATCCTTGTTTAAAAGATATTAAAAATAAATTAGTAAACATTGCTGTTTACAGAAATAGAAATAATTTGTTTCCAAAGGCCTCTCGTCATTCTAGTCCTGGACATTTCCAAGACTGCCACCCCGACACCCTTTCCAAGATCCGCCCTGGCGAGTGGGTAAGACACCAGAGTTAACGGAAACTGAGAGCGCCTCAGGCATCTGCAGCAGGAGAATTCCAGTTTTGCATCTCTGGTTCCAAGGAAGGAAGAATCTTCAGTACCCTAGAGAGTACCGGAAGTCCATCCCTTCTCCCCAGTTCCTCCAAGAGGTGTTGAGGTAACCTCTCCTTTCAGGTGGTATTTCGGTTGCAGGAATTCACACTATTTTCTGGCTCCCAGTCCCCTCCCAGTCCCACAAGCCTGTCTGGACCCACCCTCAAAGCGGAGCAACGAGTCTATGCCTCGGTTTAACGACTCTGGAAAATTGCAATGGATAGAGACAATGGCTTGGGGGAGGGGCGGGGGTCGTCCTGGGGGCGACGACAGACAGCAAGGATGGTCTTACAGGCTGGTATCGACGTTGGGGTCTTGGCCGGAGCCAGAGCCAGAGCCGGAGCCGGAGCCAGAGACTTCCACCGCGGTGGGGGGTTGTGGATCGACGCGGGGGTTGCGGCGACGTCCCCGGTACTCGATCATGTCTGGATGGTAACTCGGGTGGCGTCGGGCGTGCTTGGTCAAGTGGTCGCTCCGGGAGAACTGCTTGGGGCACAGCGGGCAGGAGAAGCGCTTCTCGCCGGTGTGCGTTCGGTAGTGGCGGGCCAGCTCGTCCGAGCGCGTGAACTTCTTGTCGCAGTCGAGCCAGTCACAGGAGAACGGGCGCTCCCCCGTGTGGGTGCGCTGGTGCGACTTCAGGTGCGACGACTTGTAGTAGGCTTTGGTGCAGCCCGGGAAGGGGCACTGATGTCTCTTGGCTGCAGGTGTAACCGGCCTTCTCCGGGACGCCGGAGCCGCCGCAGGGGCGGGGCCAGCCTCCGTGGGTCCCCCGGGGCCCTCCCCGCCTTCCTCCGGCTCGCTGGGGACCGCAGGCGCGCTGGGGATGGCGGGCGCGCCGCAGGAGCTCTCGGGACCGGACAGCTCGTCCGTGCTGAAGGCTGGGGCCGGTTCGCAGCCCTGGGTCGGGCTAGAGCCCCGGGCGGGCTCGGGGGAGCCACTGCCAGCGCGCGGAGCTTCCCCCGGGTCTTCCCCGACGCCTTCGTCGCCAGCGCCTCGCAGGGCCGCCAGCGCGCTGGCCGCCAGCAGGTGCGGCGCGGGGGCGGGGTTGGGGGCGGAGCCCTGCAGCGGCCGGGGCTCCCACGCCCACTCCGGTGTTCCCTGCCCCCGCTCCGCGTGCTCCAGCGGTGTCACACCCACCTCTGAGCCGGCCGGAGCATCCGCGCCCTCGGGGTCGGGCGCGCGTCGGTGCAGCACGGCACGTGTGGACATGGACACCAGGCACTCCGCAGCGAAGTAGTCCAGGCAAGCCCCGGCGGCCGACATGCTGGCGGCGCTCGGCGGAGCGTCGACCGAGCGCTGCCGGCCGCGGGCGAAGGGGTCCTCTGGGGGGTCCGTCCCGCCGCTGGGAGCGCAGCGGGGGGCAGCAGGGACAGGTGCGCGCAGCCCCGCACGGGGCGCGGGACCCGTCCCGCCAGACGCGCCCTTGACGCACCGGAGCCCGCGGGGGCGGTGGGACCCGCCCCGGCCCCTGGACACCTCGGATGGCGCGGCCCGGCTGGCCTCACGGCATTCCCAGCAGCCTGGGAATTTATCTTGTCTCCGCTTTCGCTCTGCTGCTGGCGAGCCAGGTAATTTTAATACGGCGACAACTCCCCGATCGCAACTTCTGGGCAGCCTGCCGGCCTCGCCCCCCTCGCGCCCGCTGGTCCCCGGCCAGCTGGGTGTCCGGAGGAGACGGAGAAACTTTTTTTTTTTAAGGGGGGGACGGAAAAGCCGCCGATACCTGACTTGTCTTTCGATTCAGGATCGCGGTTGCTAGCGAAGTGAGCTGGAATTGCATTTCACTCGCGTCCAGCGCTCAGACAGAAATGAAAATATCCCCAAGTCTGCATCCGAAAGAAAACCGGAGGAAAAGTTTCCTCTTTTAGCAGAGCGGCTGTTAATCCAGGATCGCTAGCGATCTCCCAAACAGATCCGCCGCGTAGCCATTAATTAGTAGCGTTTTGAACCAAAACGTTTCTAACCTTGCAAAAAGCAGAGTCCTCCCCTGGTTGAAATAGAAACTTAAAATCCTTGGAGTAACGATTTAACCATTCAGCCAACGAAAGAAAAAATGCATGTTTAAACTGCATTAACCTGTCACAGGCATACAAACAAATTTCCACGCTGAAATATAAATTACAGACTAGCAGCGAGATAAACACATTTAAACGGACTCCCACAATTTTAATAATAGAAAGTCACGTTTCCAATTAGGGAACGCCTTTTATTTCTCTTTTGACAAAAAATTAAAAATAAGAAAATGCACCAAAATGACATAGAATTTTCCTATGGTAGTTTATGAGTGTGGGGATCTTTCTTTTTTATAATCAAATATGTGCATGATTTATTTTACATGTCTTTATTGCCTTCATTTGCTCTCCGAGCCCTTTTCTTATTTTTAAAATTAAAAAAAGCATAGAAAATAAGCAGGATAATTTCTAAATGTGCTCTTATCACAATCTTGGATATTTACAGGCTTTACTGCTATAATATTGAATTATGTGCATTTTATTTTTAAGGCTTTGGTATTTTTTCTTTTAAAAATTAAAAAAATACCACACAGGCATCAAGAATAACATATGCTCATGTACTTACTGACTAGAATGATCAATTGTGAGATTTTTGTCGTGTTTGCTTTAGATTTTTTATTTATATTAAATGTTCAGAGAGTTGAATGTTACTTTTCTCCCTCCCTGACTGCCCTCACTCATCAGGACCATTAAGTGCATATTCTTCAAGCCTTCTTTATGCTGCTATCCCACACTACATATGTGTATATCTTTGTGTATTTAAAATTTTTAGTAAATGTTGCTGCAACACCCATGTCATTTTGCAACTTGCTTTTCTCCCTCAACATTGATTTTTATATTGATACCTGTAGAAGTGACTGTTCATTTAGCAGTTTTAAAATAATATAGGCAGCTGTGTTATGTTTAAGGAAATCCCATTCATTTTTGCTGGAGCTGCTTGTCTCAAAATTTCAGATGATGTAGCAATCTATACATTAAAAGTCTATCAGACAGAGTGATTTATTACCTGTCTTTTTCAAATTTATGACTAGAAAAAAATGTAAACATATTTTAGATGCTGAGAGAGTATTGTAAGCACCCATGTACCTGTCATATGTAATTATGAATGTTATTTTGTTACATGTTTCAGATCTTCTTTAAAAAATTGAACTATTCAATATTTCTGATAAAATTTAAGCCCTTTTGCATGACTGTGGTAACTCCCCCCCACTTTTTTCCCCCCAAAGACAAACACTATCATGAGTTTTGTATGCAATTTTTAAATTCAGGTTGCACAATTTTAACTGCATATGAACCAATATGATATACACAATTTTAACTGCATATGAACCTATATGATAGACACAGTGTTAACTGCATATGAACCTGTAATGCTTTGTATGATTTTTAAAATGTCCAGACAGGGTATTAGACAGTACCTATCATTCTGTAACTTCTTCCTCCATGGTGTGTTTTTAAATTTTTGTTCTTCCTGTTGGTAAATATAAATGCAGCTTGTTCATTCTGTTATATTGGGGATCCATGCATATGAATGTGTCGTGTTTATTCATGGCCTTATTGATGAATGCCAAAACTGCTGCCAATATTTTATTACTGGTACATGCATCTCTAGCACATATGTAAGAATCTCTCCATGTGTCTACCTAGAAAGGGATTGCTAGGCAGCACACACACACACACACACACACACACACACACACACACTCGCAGTTTCACTAGAGACTGCCAAATGGCTTTCTAATTTGCACACCCATCAACAGTGAATGAGAGTTCCTGCTTCCCTGACATGATATTAAATATTTCTAGATTCAGACTTATTTCTGCCAATTTGATTTTTAAATAGCACCATATCTTGTTATTTTATTTGAATTTCCCTCACTGCCTGTGGGGTTGGGCATGTCTCCATGTATTTATTGGCTGCTGAAGTTTCTGAGTCTGTGATTTGTTTTTTTCTCAGTTTTTGTCATTTTTCTAATACGCTGCATGTGTGTGTGTGTGTGTGTGTGTGTGTGTGTGTGTGTGTGTGTGTGTGTGTGTGTTTTGTCTTTCATCCTCTGGATTTATAGGGCTTCATGTGTATACACAGTAAACATATTGTCCAAATCTACAGCTTGTCTTTTAACTTTTGATGTCTTTGCATTTTTAGAAAATGTAGTTATATTCACACTGAGCTTTTAAAAAATACTTAGTGTTGTCTCTGTGTTATTAAAGACAGATCTCCACACCTGATGTTCGAAAACAGCTTCTCCCATCCTTTTCCATGATGTCTTACCTTTCACGTGTGAAATGCATGGTATAAAGTAGGAATTTAACTTTAGTCCTCTCTCCCCTATCATGGAAAGCCTGCTGTGACCTGATTTTCTCATCCCTATTAATGTGTAACACCACCATGATTGTAAATTCATGGAAATGTTCCTGGTGTGTCCTTTTCCATGGATCAAATCAATTTGGAGCCAATAGCTCACTCTTAATTATAATGGCTTTTTAATAAGTCTTATTACCATGGTTTTATAGAAAGAAGCCTTGATATATAGGAGGGCATGTCCCCTCTTCAAGCACTTTAAAAACTGCACTGGCTGTTTTTAGACTTCTCTCCTATACTGACTTTAGCATCAGTTTGTCAATTTCTGATAAAAACTTTGGGTATTTTGCTGGATTAAACTTATAGTTTAATTTGAGTTGACATCTTTATAAAACTGAGTGATCTAGTACATTAATATTATCTGATCTTTAAGTATCCTTCAATAACATTTATAATTTGTTTATAAAATACCTGTACCTCTTTGCCAGATTTTTATTCTTTCCTAGGTACCTTACAGCTTTTGTTGAGGTAATGTGGGATGATTTTTTTTCTGTTAAAAATTTAATTTGGCGATTGCTGCCATTTGAAAATGCTAATAATCTTGTTTAAAAGACAAACAGGCTGAACATTCTTATTAGTTTATTTCTTAGGGCTTTTGTTGTATTTTCATGTGCATAACCACATTATCTGTAAATAACATCCATGACATCTTTTCCCTTTTCTTATCACTTTGGATGTGCTGGGACCCCCAGTGTAACCAGAGTGAGACTAAGCATTGTTTTCCCATTTCTCTCATTAGAGTGTTTCTAATGTTCCATCACTGTGTTGTAAGTTTTTGGTAGAAACCTTTTATCAAGTTCAGGTAGTTTCTTCACCCCCAGTTGTTTAAAGTACGAATATTTTTAAAACATGAGATGAATATTGAAATTTTATTATCTGCTTTTTCTCAGACTATCAAGGAGTTTGTAGATTTTTGTCATTGATATGTAAAAGCAACAGGTAATGTTGATAGATTTTTCTAATGTGAGCTTATTGAATTTCTAAGAGAAACCCTGCTTTTCCCTAATCTGCTGTTTTTTTAAAAAATACACAGCCTCTAGTAGCCTGTGATTTTTTATTTTAGCATCTGGTTCATTATGAAGGCTTCTAATCTCCCTATCTTGCCCCGTCCTTGACCGTGTTTGCTATCAGGGTTGTATTATCTTCACACCACGCAGCTGGAAATTTTTCTTTTTTTTCCCATTTTGTCTGAAAGCTTGTTTAAGATAGATATTATATACTTGAATGTTTAGTAAATCTCGTGTGTGGAGCGATCATATTTTGAAAATTCAGCTCAGTTTCTCTAATCCTCTAAACCATTTGGATAATTCAGATTTCTCTGAAAAATAGACAAATTCAAGCTGATAAAATTGTGGAATTTGGTACACATTCTCTTATTGTAAAATGCACTCCAGTATCTGTTGTCATTCCTTTTTTTTATTCCCAATATATATCACAAATATATGTATTTGTGAATCCTTTTTCTTTTAACAAAGGTTTGTTTACATTTTTGATAAAACCTATTGACATTTATCTGTAATCGTCCAAATGAGCAGCTTTAGTTGACAAGATCTGTTTCTTTTCATATATAGATATATATTTAATTTCTGTATTTATTTTCTCAGTCCCTGACACTTGCATTGGGTTTAACATTTCAGTGTGTCCCGGCCCCCCCCCCCGGATTTCCCTGGCATTAGATCCCTTGAGCTATTCTGTAACCAGTGTTCATTGTGTAACCTCTTGAGATTTGGCTCTGGAAGTCTAATTGAGGATTATTTGACATGGAAAATAGAATAAGGGTAATTTCTCAATGTGGTGTATACAGTGGCCTCAAAGCAAATGTTACCAAAATAATCTTCTCAACCCATTCAGAGTCACCCAGAGGCAACATCACACCAATGTTCAGAAGG